CTGTGGACATAAAACTGCTCTAAAAGATAAAGTCTGGCCAGGTGTGGTGGCTCATGCCTATAATCCCAGCCCTTTGGGGGAGGTAGAGGCAGGATGATTGCTTGAGCCCAGGAGTTTGAAGTTACAGTGAGTTATGAATGCACCACTGCACTCAGCCAAGGTGACATAGTAGGATGTTCTCTCTAAAAATTAAATAAATAAATAGCATATTACCTAAAAAAGAAAAAAAAAATGTTTGAATAGCCAACATAGGAAACTGCAAATCCACATTTCCAGCTTCTCTTGAAAATTCAGCTCTGGCGCCTCCAACCCCAAGCAGGTGGAGATGTCCTGGTTGGTCCTCACCTGGAGACAGATGATCCTTACCACTTGCTTCTGTGTCGTGTAGCATCTGTCTGGCCTCCAGATGATTTGGAGTTTGAGTTTTCTGGTCTAGAGATCAATGGTTCTCAACATGGGGAGACCGTGTTCCAGGGACACTAATGATGTTTGGGGGCAGTTTTAGTTGTCATTACAACTAATGACAGGGGAGAAGGTGTACTGGCATCCAATGGGCAGAGGCCAGGGATGCCGTGAAACATTGTGAAATGCACAGCACAGCCAATACTGTCACTATTTCCAATGTTGGGAAACTCTGATGCAAAAAGCTAGTTCTAATCTGAGGAACTTTTAACAATACTGATGCTTTGACACCCCCAGTAATTCTCATTTAAATCATAGAGAGGTGCTACCAGGACAAAAGGATTTTTAAAATCTCCCCAATCAAGTCTGCCCAGTTTGAGAAGTATTACAAAGCTTTTTTTGATGGATGAGGGCTTAAGATATATAGGGTTGTCATTCATTCATTCATTTCTTCAGTTATGCAGCCAGTCACCCACTGCTTCCTTCTCTCCTTTTGTATGGAACTTGGGAGTCCTGCAAGTGAGGCAGACTCAGACCTCCATACCCTTAAAGAGCTCTAGGTTTAATAAACAGTTCCTGATTCTTTCAGTTCATCTCTTTGCAAACTTCAGCGTGCTCATAAATCATCTGAGAATCTTGGTCAAATACAGACTTTGATTCAGCAGACAGAGGGTGGGAGGTACCGAGACCCTGCATTTCTACCTGGCTCTGAGGTGGCATAGATCCTACGCAGCTGAGGATCACACTCACCATCTTTACTCAGGAGTCTTGAGAAAGCCTGACCCAGAAAATGCCAGTATCTCAGATAATATTATACATTCCTCCACATACTTCCAAATAAACTTAAGCATCACTCACAAATCTCTTCTTAGACCCTATCACTAATAAAGTTCTCAAAAGATGTTCATTGTAGCCAGGAAAGGGAGTCTGAGATTATCTTACCAATGATCCTATTTCACAGATGAACATAGGTGAAGAAACTTGCTTAGTGCTTATCCAGTGCTAGAGGCAGAACTGACTCCCAATTCTGAAGTTTTTTTCCCCCTTAAAGCCAGTGTGGCTCTCATAATCAGCTAGGGCTGGCTTCATGGGACCCCGAGCTCAAAAGGGCCCCCCTACTTAGCCTAATATTATGCTTTCACTGTGCTGAAATTCTTTTTTTTTTATAGTTGCCTTTTATTTTTTCCTTTTTTATAAATGTTATCAATTTATTTATTTTAAGACAGAGCCTCAAGCTGTTGCCCTGGGTAGAGTGCTGTGGCATCAGAGCTCACAGCAACCTCCAACTCCTGGGCTCAAGTGATTCTCCTGCCTCTGCCTCCCAAGTAGCTGGACTACAGAGGCCCACCACAATACCTAGCTATTTTTTGGTTGCAGCTGTCATTGTTGTTTGGCAGGCCTGGGCTGGATTCGAACCCACCAGCTCAGGCGTATGTGGCTGGCACCTTAGTTGCTTGAGCTACAGGCGCAGAGCCCGTCTTTTATTTTTTACTCCTAGTATGCCTTGAATTCATAGGGAATAGGTTCCAGGAGCTCAGGGGCCTGTCCATTGGACATGACAAAGCTTGCTCTGTCTATTACACCATAAATTCATGGGGAATGGGTTCCAGCACCTCATGCCCCCTTTCAACTGGTTCTCCCATGTGTTATGCTGTGCACCTATTATGCCATGAATCCATACAGAATAGGTCCACACCTTATGCCCCCCTTTGGCTGGTTCTTTTGCTTCTCCTGTGTGCTACACTGTTTGCCTATTATGCCATGAATTTATACAGAACAGGTTCTTGCAGCTCAGGCTCCTTTCCATTGATTCTTACAAAATGAGTTTCTCTGGGTGGAGCAGGCTGGTGCTTCATTTGAACCCAGGTACTTTTCTCTTTGGCTTCCTCCTTGTTTTGATCATTTTCCTTCATACATTTTAGGAAGCTATCTCTGCTCTTAGAGTGTTTAATATGCTCAATATAAACATTAATCCTCTTAGCAAGAATCCTGCCCTTAACTTGTTTGTTTACAATGCCAACAGCATGCTAGGTAACACTGTAAACTCTTCCAGTTTTGCCATGGTGACATCTGTGTGGCATGCTTTTTTGAACAATACCCATGTGGACAATATCACTTTTCTTATAGATTCACATGTATGTGGCCAAAGGAACAACTCTATTATTTTCGAAAATGTCTACATTATGTGTATCAGGTACCTCTTCTCTTTTCCTGTGTGTTTATCATTTTGGTGAATTACTGTAAGATGGCATCTCTAGTCAAAAGGAATACTGGAATTCTTAATTTAAAAAATTTTTTTTAGAGAGGGTGTGTTGACTAGGCTGAAGTATAGTTATGTGACTATAGCTCACTATAATCTTGAACTCCTGGGCTCAAATGATGCTTCCATTTCAGCCTCGTGAGTAGCTAGGACTATAGGTGCTAGCCACCATGGATGACTAATTTCTTTAATTTTTAAGAGACAGGGGTCTTGCTATGTTGCCCAGGCTGGTCTGGAACTCCTGACTTCAAGTGATCCTCCTGCCTCAGCCACCCCGAGTAACTGAGATTATAGTTGTGAGTCATCACACTTGGCTGAAATTCTGAATTTCTCAACATGGAACCCTACACTGACATTCTGTATTGGGACCAGCACATAGATTCTGAGTAGAAGCACTAACAGAAGCTCAGCACACACACCAAACTAAGGGGTAACAGTTCAATCTAATGCCTTACTTTTTAAAAGGCAATCAACTACCTTGGAGCAATCGTACTGATTCTTACAGCCAAGCAGACCTGGTTTTGCGTCCCAAAGCTGCCATTTCCAGTTATGGGACCATAGGCTCTTTGTGTATTTAAGATAGCTTTGCCATTATTTCCTATTTTCCTAGCTATAAGAGGAGGAGGTAGAACTGGTTGGGGTATCTTGATAGCAAGCAGCAATCACTGGGGAGGAGAACTTGATACTCTGACTTAATTACTAGAGCAGAGATAGGAGGAGGTATTTAAAAGCCCCTGGATTGTCTCATATATAGTCAGGTTAAAGAGCCACCTTTCAACCTTTCTGTGGAACCTTTAGGCTTCAGAATTTCCAGCTCAATGGTTTACTCTGGGACTCCTACAGAAATATCTCAGTTCTTCCCGCAGGTCCCCAGACAGCCTGGACGCCTCTTTTCTCCATACATTTGTGTCCTAAAACCCCATAGGGCTCCTATCCTCCTGTTTTACATTTTTTCAAAATTGCCCAGGGTACTGGACTGAGATACCAGGAATTCTTCCCTAGAAAGGAAATATAACCCCATGTTCACACCAGAACAATACAAAAGCCTATTTTGCTTTGCAAAGTAACTGCTTTCCAGAATAGCTTTTAAGGAAATAGGTTCTAGCATGTGGTAGGCAAAAATAGAATAAAAAATGCCTGGCAAGTTGAGTATGATCCTGTTTGCCTAAGATTGTGCATTTATATCTGTAACTACAAAGGCATAAATGAATAGAAGAGAGATCAAGAAAGGTGGCCACCACTATCCACTATGGTCACTGTAATTATCTCTTTTTTTCCTTTGTGCTTTTCAGCTTTAGTTTTTAGTAAACGTGAGAACCTATTTTTATCATCTAGAAAAGAACAGGCTATTTCCATCCTGAGATTTAGGAGTAATTTATATCTAAGTGGAAGAAAGGTCACAAAGTTTGGAGTATTTGATCTCTTTTCTAAAGCTAAATTCTACTGTCCATTAAGTTTTCTGGTGTGCTAGAACAAATACCAGGAGATGAACAAGAAACATTCGCTAATGGTGAACCTTGTATAAAAATAGAACACATTCTAAGGAGGCCATTCGTCCTCCTTTAAAAGATTTTTGAAAAAAATATAATCTAAGAAGCAGGGTCTACTTTCCTGCTGCTTCATAGAGGCATGGGGTTTTGGGGCTGAGGGAGGAAGCTGACCCCAAATCACCCCCGCCCTGCAGCAGGTTCTGTTCCATGGAAAGGATCCAGGGACAGGACTGAAAGAATTCCCGCCGGGCTCGAAGATCCAGTATGGTCGGGCACGAAGAAACAGCAGGCCAGGCAATGGGGAAAGGGGAGGGAGTGGAGAGGAGGGGCACCGGTGTCACTTTCGCTGAACCTGATCGCAGCCCCCAGCACAGCGGCCCTTATATAGGCACTCAGCTGCTGCATCCACTCCGCGTGCCAAGGGCAAGGAGGGAGGTCACAGCTTCCAGCAGCCAGGACATCTGGTTCGGGCAGCAGCGCAGACCCTCACCTGCAGCCTCGCCACTACCTACGCCCCTTGCCCAAGTTCAGGCAGCCTTGATCTATGATGACCCAAGACTTGCTCTTTGCCCGCCCCTAGTACCTGTTTTCCCCCTCCCCTCAATAAGCACCCTCCTTTCCGCCCACATCTGCTTCCCCTCCCCCAGCCTCGCCATTCTGGGGGCTTCTCAGCTCGGTATGAGGCAGCGTGGGAGAATCCCACGATCTTAGCACCTGCCTACACCCCCATCCAGTCCCTGGGTTTGTGCCTCCCTTTCTTCATCATTCAGGGCTGCCCCCCACCGCGACCCCCGAGTTTCCTCCTCCCCACCTTACCAGATCCCTCCAGCCCCTCGCCTGGGGCTCACCTGGTTCATATTTGAGGTAGAGGATGGAAACGATGAAGTAGCTGAGGTCGAAGACTGGGAAGAGCGGCACCCGTGAGAAGCTGAGCGCCAACTCGCCCAGGCTCAGAGCCGAGAGCAGGTCCATGGTGTCCACCGGGTACTAGCCCGGCCACCTACCCGGTCCGTCCCGCAGCTCCGAGGCCCGGCAACTGGGCCCTGCCGCGGGGCCCGCCCCCGCCGCCAGGCACCACCCCAGGCCCGGCCCCCGCGGGAGAGGAGGGGCCACGGTCCACCCCGGCACCAGTGGTGGGGCCGTCCAGTCCCACGGAGCTGGACTGTTGCGAGTCCCATCCCCTATCCCTTGGGACTCCATGACCCCATACAGTCCAGCAAAGGGGGTTGCGGGGCCCCGGAGGAAGGAGAGAGGGACGGATAGGGTGTCCATCCGGGGGGCCCGTACCCCACGGAGCTCAAAGGCGGGATACCAGTTCCTGCAAGGCAGGATCAGACAGGACTTTGTCACCCTTGGGTGGGGGCCCAATTAGGATTTCCGTCCTCTGTGGAATCTAGTCAGGATCCCTACTCTGGTGGGACACCATCAGTCAGAATCCCCATCCTCCTTGGAGGTAGCTTAGGACCGCCCCCACCCCCGTCCTCTGTGAAGCTTCGTCAAGACCTTCTTGACCGATAAGGTCCCCGTTCAGTCAGGACCCACGTTCACCGTGTGGCTTCACGAGTCAGGACCCCTGACTGCCTGCCGCCCCCCTCCCGTGGGGCCTGCTCTGTGGAGATCCCCAACTCCCGTGGCGCCCAGAAAGACCCCTTTTGCAGCTCAGTTGAGGAGCAGTGTTGTGGGCGCCCTCTGCGTCAGGACCCCGCCTCTTACGCAGTTCAGGGATTAGAGGGTTTCTCCAGAAACCCAATTCGGTAGCCCAGCAAGAAAGAGGGAATCGCTGCCAGAGTAATCCTACAGGAAGCAAGACTTTACGCATGCGTAGCACGCTTCCAACACGTGACCCAGTCCTTCCCCCGGAGGCTCCACCCGGTGAGTGGTGTCGGATGCTGGTTCTGTCCTTTCTTCTCTGACCCACCAGGTTTCCGCAGCGGGGAGGGGCACTAGCTTTCTCCTAAAGCGGGGGGGGGAGGGGGGGAGCCTGGCCTGCAGGGGGCGGAACCCTTTCTCTGCTAGCCTTCCATTGGCCCATCTGCCGTCAGTGTTACTTAGGGATTGGTCGGCTCATTCTTCCCGCCCCACCCTCCCAGGAACTTCCGCTTCCGGTTCTGTCTGACTCTTTGGCTGTAACGATGATCGGAGACATCCTGCTGTTCGGGTAATTAGGGGGAACCAGAGGCTGGGAATAGAGACCCAGACAGGGCGGAGGACAGCCCCAGTAATCGTAATTGTCCCTCTGCAGGACGCTGCTGATGAATGCTGGGGCGGTGCTCAACTTTAAGCTGTGAGTAGGCCGCTCCAGACGGCAGCTCCACCCGGGAACCCGTAGCCCCGCCCTTGGGAGCGTGAACTCGCCCCACACGTCGCGGACCCTGCCCACAAGTCTCAACCCGCCCTCTGGCCCCGCCTCCGGACTGGTTTATATTTCTCTGACCCTGCGCCACACCCCAGGACTTAAAATCCAGATCCACTATTCCTCCCAGCTCCCTTTCCTCACATCCCTGGAGAGCCTCAGTCCTATCCCTCAAGAAGCAGCCCTTCCCTGGACCCTCAGCCCCACATCCGGCAACCTCCGACCGATCACCCTATAAAATGTTGCTGGCTGCAGACCTGGCTGTGAGTGATAGGGCAGTGGCGGCACTGAAAATGGACGCGGTGCTGTCCGAGGTCACACAGTAAGTTAGCGGCAGGGCTAGGTTTGAAGCTTAGCGTCCTCAAGCTGGTTGTCAGTATCCGAGGACTTAACCCATTGAAAGTCGATAACTGTCTGCTCCTCCTTTTAGGAAAAAGAAGGACACGCAGGGCTTTGGGGAGGAATCCAGGGAGCCCAGCACAGGTAAGGTCTCTTTTCTGAACCCTGGAATTTTGCGGCCACTTTAGAGAAGACAATTTTTTCTCACCAAGTCCTATCCTAGTTTAAGTTTTACGTGAGTGTGCGTGTATGAGAGACAGACCTAGAGAGAGGGAGAATGGTGGGCCTGAGGGTGAGCTATTTCTTATGCCTACTTCTGTCACCTACTTCTTTCTCTTACCAGACATCCCCTATAAGTCAGCGCTCACATCACTTCCTACAGTTATAATTTGCTGTTACGTCTGCTCTCATCTGGCTAATATCTGCCCCTCACACCTGACGGTGAGCTCCAGAGAAGTGGCCCTAGCTTGTCTTGGTTCTTTCTGGGTCCTTGACATGTCAGTACTCCAGTGTCTGTGGATGAATAGATGAATGAACAGACTCACAAGTAACAGTTGCTTTCAGATTGCTGCAGGTCTGTTTTTTTTTTTTTTTAAGTTAGATGCCAACATTAGATTTTGAGTAAATCAGGAGACTTTACATAAACATTTATATGTTTGATTCTTCTGGGAAAAATCAGAACATCCTGCAGCTCAAAGATTGAGTAGAGTGCTTAGGATCTATCAAGTAGGATTGAGAAGCAGGATCCTGTTAAGGCAGAGCTTTTGGACTCTGCCTTATTCCATTCTCAACCTCTTCTTATTTATGTCATTTCACCTGTCTGGGTCCTGGGAGTTCTAGAATTTATACTTCCTGATAAATTTATTCATGTGACTATTTGGATCTAATAGGACTTAGACATAACAGTTATGTCCATTCATTCATTTGTTCATTCACCAGAGCAACTACTACATGCTGGCCACTATAGTAGATGCTGGGATGCTGGGATGCAGCAGGAATAAGGCAGACAGAGTGGAACTTACCATGGGTGGGACAAGTGGTTCCTAAACAAGGAACAGTTGGTGATGGAGGTGATATCAGGTGAGGATGGCACTGATAGGGAGTCACCAGATGGTGATAGGGTTGCTGTTTCTGCTGGGGTATATGGAGGAAAGGCCCTTTGATCAGATAGCATCATAGTCAAGGCAGCAGGTGCTATGATGGAGCTTTGCACAAGCATGGTGGGAACCCTGAGGAAGAGAGGGTTTGAAGACAGTACCTTATTAAGGGCCTGCATCCAGTTGGCTCCCCTCTTAGGTGCTTTCTAGTAGTATTTTATTCCATCTCCATCCCTAGTAGGTAAAGATTACTTTCCCATCTTCCAAATGAGGAAACTGAGGTTTAAGATGTTCTTGTGACATTATGCTTGTGCCCATATGGCAAATCAGTGTCAGAGTCAGGATTGGAACCTGAGTTTTTCTGACTCCAGATTTTGTTACTTATTTACTTTTATTTTTTTGAGACAGTCTCACTTGTCACCCATGGTAGAGTGCCGTGGCATCACAGTTCATAGTGACCTCAAACTCTTGGGCTTAAGCAATTCTCTTGTCTCAACCTCTCGAGTAGCTGGGACTACAGGTGCTGCCACAACACAATGGCTGTTTTTAGAGATGGGGTCTCGCTCTTGCCTAGGTTGGTCTTGAACCTATGAGCTCAAGCAGTCCATCCAACTCAGCATCCTAAGTACTAGGATTACAGGCGTGAGCCACTTTCCTGACTGACTCCCGATTTTGTACACTCAATCACTAGATCATCCACCCATCCTTCCATTCATTCATATACGTGGATTTAGACACTCATTCAGAAGCCATGTATTATTAAGCATGATGTGGAAGGTCCTAGGCCTGTGCTGAGAACTGAGTTGGAGCTTTGGCAGGGAGGAAATTTGGCACAAGGGCTCGGAAGTGGCAGATTCAGTGACAGGGATGACAGGAAGGGCCCCTGTGGCCTGGTGAGGACCTTCCTGCATGCTTCTGGGTCTGCGTTTTGTCAGCATGCTTTACTCTCCCTCAAGGCTTTTTCCAGCCAGAACTCTGCACCTGCTGCTTCCCCTGTGGGAGGTGCTTTTCAACCTTCATTCTCTTTGCCTGGCTGATTCCTTTTTTTTTCCTTTTGAGACAGAGTCTTATTATGTTGCCCACGGTAGAGTGCCGTGGTATCACAATGCCTGTCTATTTTCTTGTTGCAGTTGTCATTGTTGTTTACCTGGCCTCGGCTGGGCTCCAACCTGCGACCCTCTGTGCATGTAGCTGGCGCTATAACCACTGTGCTATAGGCGCCGAGCCTGCCTGGCTGATTCCTAATGGCTGTATTTGTTAAGGGCTTCGTGTGTGCCAGGGACTGTGTCTTCCCAGCCTCCGGTTACCCCCATTTCCACAGGAAAAAAGAAGTACAGATGGTCAAGGGCAGAAGGGCAGAGCTAGAATTTGAGTAGCTGGAAGCTGCCCATATTTGAGGTTGGAGCTTGGAGTTAAGGCATTTCTCTGAAAGGCTAATTCTCACCCCATAACAGGTGCACCTGCCATATTATGTCCTCCTCATTGTGTGTTCCCAGGGCACCTGAGCTTTCCCATCAGAGCAGTCATCATGGTGAATAATTACATAATGTGATTAATTATTTAGTATTTATCTTCCCTGCACACTCCTTAGGTCAAGGACACCTGTCTTATTTTTTCCTGTATTCCTTGTATGCAGCTGTTGCCTGGAATGAGTAACCTGTCAGCATCTGTTGTGGCCCCATTTTCATGATCTGAGGCTGGGGGAAGCCTCTTGCTGAGCAGCACCTCTCAAACATCCTACATCCTGGGAATGGATGTAGTTCTTAACATTTCTATCCCATGCTTGACCAACACTGCACAGCTTGTGCTGCATGTGAATGACTCTGTTGGTTGGATAATACCAGACTTATCTAAACCATGTTCAACAAGACTTGGTGAAGTGTTTCATAAAATATTCTTTGGATTTTTTTTTCTCATTAAAAAATTTAAAAAGTGTTCTTAACTTAAAAACAAGTGGCATCACAAGCTTGGATGGTGCAGTAATGTCAGATTGTTGGAAGTGTCTGAGCTTTTTCTCTATTCTCTGTACTTAACAAACAGCCCCCAGTTTGCAAACACTTTGGATAGCAATCTTGTAGATCATGTAGTCTGAGTTTGTTCTTTCCATTCTGGAGGCATAGAAAGGGAGGGTGATCAATTTAGAACCCTGGAGAAAGGTTTTGGGACCCAGGACTCTGGAGTCTTAAGGTGCCAAATTGGCTCCCCTTGGAGGGGTTTCTGTTCTTTAGCATCAGAGAGGGAACCAGAATAAGTCATCACAAAAGCAAACTTCTCCTTTTAGGTGCCTGAATTGGGATGCTTTTAGTTGTAAACAGTGCAAATCCGGCTTTTGGTTAAAGCAAATTGAAAATTCCAAGGTGGAATTACCTTAAGGCTTCCCGGGGTTCAGGTCACAAACCAGCCCTTTAACATTTGACTCTCCAGCTCTCAATTCTTCTTTCTTCTATGTTGGTTTCACTATTAGGTGGCTTGTGTTGAGAAAGATAACCCTAGAATATGGGTTGGCACATTTTTCTGCAAAGGGCCACATGATACATATTTGATGCTTTGTAGACTACATAATGTATAATGTGACAACTCTGGTGTTGTAGTACAAAAGTAGCCAGAGAGAACACATCAATGAATGTGACTGTGTGCCAGTAAAACTTTATTCATAGAAACAGAAATTTGAATTTCATGTAATTTTAGTGTTTCATAAAATATTTCTTTTTTTTTACTTATTAAAAAAATTTACAAATCATTCTAAGCTCACACAAAAACAGGTGGCAGGGGCTGGGTTTGGCTCATGGGCCATAGCTTGCTAGCCCAGCAAGCCTGGTAGAGAGTGTCTGTTTCCTAGTACTTGGGGGCAAAAGTCCTAGAGCAGACTTTCATTGGACAGAGTTGGGTCATATGCCTCTCCTTCAACCAGTCAGAGGCAGAGGGTGTCATACTCTGGGAGCACTGGTCAATGACAGCCACAGCCTAAGTGATAAGGACAGAGGATCAGAGGAGACCCAAGGGAAAAGTTATACTATCACCAAAGGTAAAGGCAGTGGGTACAGGGTTGACAGAAATCACTGCAGGAGTGACAGTAGGAAAACAATGTTAGCTGTGCAATAAAAGTGCTTTGTGACTTTCTAGGTGACAACATCCGAGAATTCTTACTGAGCCTCAGATATTTTCGAATCTTCATCGCCCTGTGGAATGTCTTCATGATGTTCTGCATGATTGTGTAAGTCTGCCCTTCCCATCCCCTTGTCATCTCAGCGTCTTTCTCCAGGACAACCCACCTGAGGGTTAGTCTCTGCATTCAGTCTGCACTCTTGTGTTATACTTTCTGCTTTTAAAATAACTCTGCAAATGAGTGAAGAAACCAGGATCTTAAGGGGTCAAACTATGCTGCTGAGGTCCCCACCAGACTAGGCTGGAGTTTTGATTGGAAGCTGAGTCCCAGCTATACCTGACACCTTTGCAAAAAAATGCCTTCCCTGAGCCTATGGCCCTCCCGCCATAGGCTCTGCTGTGCTTAGTGTATATTTGGTGTTTGTGACATGGAAAATGTGACTTAAATGTCCAGTGTGCTGCTAGATCCTGCTCCAGCCTTGCTGGAAGCCAATAGAAATGTATTTAGAATTTATTTTTGTTTTTATTCTTACCTCATTTTCTCATTAGACGAAGGAAACCTAAGACAATTGTTTTTCCATCTAGCATTAACGTCGTAATTTTGCTAACTGCTGTTAATGAATTGTGAGACTCATAGTACATGAACTTGGAGAAAATACAATAGTTGAGGGGAGTGTTCTCAGCCTCACTGGGTCCATCCCCACATACTTTCCCCCTAAAGGAACAGGACAGGAAGTTGGCTTTCCTGATTGAGACTCTGAATTTGGGGTTATTGGTGATCCTTGTGCCAGCCTAATGGCAGTTTGAGGAGATGATTCCAGGACTTAGGAGATCTGGGGAGGAGGGTATTTCATCATGTATTTAGAAAGTGTTATGGAGCCCAGAATGCAGACCATGATACATTCTCAGAGAGGACCTTCCCAAGGTGTGCTACCTGGCAGAGAGAATTTGGGAGCATGGATGAGGCCTGCCCAGGGACTTAGTAGGAATTACAGAAAAGTATAGAAGTATAACCAGGACTCAGAGAAAATGGAGCAGTGTTGGACTTCTCCATTCTTTGTCTGTCTAGGTTTCTATTCATTCACAACTATCTATCCCAGTTGTGCTCTGTGGTTGTGGCTGAGGCCAAGATAGCTGTAGTCCTTGCCTTCAGCCAGTGTACAGTATAGGTGGGATGTGGACAGAAAAACAGGCATATAGGAAACAATCAGTTGTGGATGGCAAATGGGAACAGTTTTGGAGGTGAGCAGGGAAAGGCTCTCTGAGAAGGTGCCATTTAAATCAAGATCGAAAGCAGTGGTTCTTAACCTTCCTAATGCCGTGATCCTTTAATACAGTTCCTCATGTTGTGGTGACTCCCAACCATAAAATGATAGCAATGAAAGTAGCTGAGGAACTGTATTAAAGGGTCATGGCATTAGGAAGGTTGAGAACCACTGATATAAAGAATGGAAAGCAATTTGCTATTTGCTGATCTGGGGGGAAGGGATGACAACATAGGAAGTAGCATGTGCACAGGTCCTGGGGCAGGGAAGAAGTTGGTGTGTTTTCCTTGTTGTCTTTCCTGTGCATCTACTTCATCATCCTCTCTTGTCCAACCAACTTCCTTCCCTCCCTCACCTGCTGGCTTGTGACCAAGATGCCTGCCTTGGGCTTTGTGACTTTCTGACTCAACTTACCTAAGACCAGCTTGATCAGTAACCCAGGGTCCTAATTTTGTTTCTTAGAGCAGGGTTTGATTGGTTTACCTTGGTGTCTTTCAGGTCTAGTTGGAGGGAAGGGTTTTTTTGTTTTTATTTTTATTTTGAGACAGTGTCACTCTGTTGCCCAGGCTAGAGTGCTGTGGTGTCAGCCTAGCTTACAGGAACCTCACACCCCTTGGTTCAAGTGATCCTCCTACCTCAGCCTCCTAAATAGCTGGAGGTGCCCACCACAACACCCAGCTAATATTTCTTTTTCTTTCTTTCTTTTTTTGAGACAGAGTTTCACTTTGTTAGAATGGCGTGGTAGAATGCCGTGGCATCATAGCCCACAGCAACTTGAACTCTTGGGCTCAAGCAATCCTTTTGCCCCAGCCTCCCAAGTAGCTGGGACTACAGGCACCTGCCACAACGCCTGGCTATTTTTTAGAGATGGGGGTCTTACGCTTGGCTCAGGCTGGTCTTGAACTCCTGAGCTCAAGAGATCCTCCTGCCTCAGCCTCCCAGAGTGCTAAGATTATAGGCATGAGCCACCGCATCTGGCATGGATGTAGGGTTCTTGATTTCATCATAACCATTTAGGTCAGAGCTCAACAAGCCACAGCCATACCTGCTATCTATTTTTGTGAGTGAACTTCTGTTGTCATACAGCCCAACCCATATCTGTAGCTGCTTTTGTGTCACAGAGACTGCTTGGCCTGAAAAGCCTAAACTGTTTACTTTGTGGCTCTATACAGCGAAAATGTGCTGACCCCTGACTTAGGCTAACTCTCTTGGGGACTATGGGTAGGGAGAAGGTTCTCTTAAGAAAGAACTCTCACAGGGAACAAATGACTGGCTTTCCCAGGATATTAAAAAACTGGAAATCACCTAAATGTCCAAGAACAATGAAAGGGTCAGGTAACTTGAAAGATGCTTGTGAGACCAGCTGTCACAATGCTGTTACTGATAATGTGCTAGAAGATTCTGTTTATTCAGGCAAATGTTTGAAAGGGAAGAAGGCCAGATGACACCCTGTGCACGGTCTTAGCCTCATCTCCCTTTTCAGTCTTAACTTGCATGCAGTGAACATGGAGTGAACTCACTGAATGAGTTCCTGAACTATGTGAGGGAAACAGTGAACAGTGAGGGAGTTGGAAGGAACTGCTCCAGATAGTATAAGGAAGGTGACCATGTGGCAGTTGAGGAAGTTGGTGGGGTGTGGGGGTATGGTTTGTTGTTCCCTGTGCCCACTTCTGTATCATTTGAGCTGAGATACTTTAGAAGTTTAAGAAGTCATGAAAAAGTTGAAATACGGGGAGAAACATCCCTGAGTGTGTATGGATCAGTGGTACCCATATCTGTAACTTCCTTAGAAACACTTCAAAAATATGTTTAGTGGTAAAAGCAAAGCGTTAATTGCAGAATGTGGATGTTAGAAATGTGGGTGTTTACTGAACCATTCTTTTAACTCTTTATTTTCTTGAGAGAGAGTCTCAAGCTGTCGCCCTGGGTAGAGGGCTGTGGTGTCACAGCTCACAGCAACTTCAAACTCTTGGGCTTAAGAGGTTCTCTTGCCTCAGCCTCCCAAATAGCTGGGACTACAGGCGCCTGCCACAATGCCCAGGTATTTTGTGGTTGTAGTTGCCATTATTGTTTTAGCTGGTCCAGACCGGGTTTGAGCCCGCTAGCCTCAGTGTATGTGGCTGGCACCCTACTCACTGAGCTGCAGACACCGCCCCATTCTTTTAATGCTTATGTGTTGAGATTTTCATAATAGAATATTGGGAGATAGGGCAGCACCTGTGGCTCAAGGAGTAGGGCACTGGTCCCATATACCAGAGGTGGTGGGTTCAAACCTGGCCCATGCCAAAAGCTACGAAACAAAAAAGAATATTGGGAGGTAAATTTAGGGAGAAAATGAGGGTGTCAAACCATGGAGAAGAAGGATTTAGAAGTAAAAAGTGGAAGTCTGCCTTCATAATTCAGTATTTCATGGTATATTCACAGGATCATGCCAGCACCATCTCCAATTCCAGAACATTGTTGTCACTCCAGAAAGGAACCGTATCCCCATTATCAGTCACTCCCCATTCTCCCTCCCCCAGTCCCGACGACTACTAATCTGCTTCCTGTCTCTGTGGATTTGCCTGTTCTGGACATTTCACATCAGTGGAATCATACACTGTGCAGACTTTCATGTCTGGCATCATTTGCTCAGCATCCTGTTTTGAGGTTCTTCCCTGTTGTAGCAGGTGTCACTGCTGCATTCCTTTTTGTGGCTGAATATTAATTATCCCATTGCATGAATACACACCAGTTTATTATCCGTCTGTCAGTTGATGGGTGATTGGGATATTTCCATTTTTTGACTATTACATTCATGTATAGGTTTTCTTGCAGCCTTGTGTTTTTAATTATCTTCACCTAGGAGTGAAATTGCTGAGTCATAGGATAATGCTATGTTTATCTTTTTGAGAAACCAGACTGTTTTTCAAAGTAGCTGCAGCATTTTTCATCCTCACCAGCAGTGTAGAAGGGTTACAGTTTCTCCCTTTCCCTGCCAATACTTGTCATTAGTCTTTTTGGGGGGGGGGCAGAGCCAGGTTTGAACCCTCATGCCCCAGTATATGGGGCCAGCAGCCTACTCCTTGAGCACAGGTGCCACCCTGTTAGTCTTTTTATTATAGCCATCGTAGTAGGTGTGAAGGTTTTGATTTGCATTTTCCTAATGGTTAATGATGTTCGATATCTTTTCATATACTTATTGGCCATCTGTATATCCACTTTGGGACAACATATGATATGATACCATGCCCATTTTTTAAATTGGGTAATTACCAATTTGTATGAGTTCTTTGTATATTCTGGGCGGTGGTACCTTATTAGATGTGTGCTTTGCAAGTGTTTTCTCCCATTCTGTGGGTTTTCTTTCCATTTTCTTAATGAAAATGTACCATTTAAAGCACAGAAGTTTTTAATTAAAACATGCACATACACATACACAGAAGGTGCAAAAAAAATGTATACACATTTAAAAAAAGGAAAAACTGTATTAAAATTGTCGTGCTTATGGCTGGGTGCAGTGGCTCATGCCTGTAATCCCAGCACTCTGGGAGGCCAAAGTGGGCAGCTCACCTGAGCTCAAGGGTTGGAGAACACTCTAACCTAGAGTGAGACCCTGTCTCTAAAAATAGCCGGGCGTTGTGGCTGGTGCCTTGGGATGTTGAGGCAAGAGAATTGTTTGAGCCCAAGAGTTTGAGGTTGCTGTGAGCTATGACACCCTGGCCCTCTGTCACGAGGGTGACAAAGTGAGACTCTGTCTCAAAAAATAAAATAAAATAGTCATACTCAGTATATACCATTAACAAAAGATGATTGAGTCATTTTGAGCTCCTCTTGTAATTGCAGAAGTCAAATGTGATTTGAGTATTACAAATTGAATACAGTTTTCTCTTTTCTTATAATGTGTATACATTTTTTTTTTTTTTTTACACCACCTGTATATATGTGTATGGATGTGTGTGTATTAGAGGCTGGGTCTTGGTATGTTGCCAGGCCGGTCAACTCCTGGCCTCAAGTGATCCTTCTGCCAAAGTGCTAGGATTACAGGCATGAGCCACTTCACTTGACCTAAAAGTTTTTAATTTTGATGAAACCAGTTTATCTGTTTTTTCCTATTGTTGCTTATACTTTCGGTATTATAGTTAGGAAATCATTGCTTAGCCCAAGGTCACATTTATGCCTACAGTTTTCTTAGAGTTTTATAGTTTGAATTCTGATAGGTCTATGATTCATTTTGAGTTAACTTTTTTTGTATGGTAGGAGATAGAAGTCCAGTTTCACTCTTTTGCACGTGGAGATCTAGTTCTTTTTTTTTTTTTTTTTGTAGAGACAGAGTCTCACTTTATTGCCCTTGGTAGAGTGCTGTGGCATCACAACTCATAGCAACCTTTAACTAGTCCTGGGCTTAGGAAATTCTCCTGCCTCAGCCTCCTGAGTAGCTGGGACTTACAGGCACCCGCCACAACGCCTGGCTATTTTTTTGTTGCAATTTGGCTGGGGCCAGGTTTGAACCCACCACCCTTTTGGTATATGGGCCGGCACCCTATCCCCTTTTTGTCTGAGAATGAGTTTAGATTTGTAGAAATGTTGCAAAGGTAATACAAAGAATTTCTATGTAGTCTTTCTTTAACTAGCTCTATCCTTTTTCTCTGTAGGTCTTTGTAATAATTTACATACCCACTTTCAAACTTGGTGGATGTTTATATTGTTTCCAGGTGTGTGCTGTTCCACATTTTCTTCAATGAACAGAGTTAACTATAATCGTTTGTTTATTCAAAGGTCTTTTCTTAGTTTATGAAAGTCTCCTCTGACTAGCAATAATAGAAAATTTGCTTGATATATGTTGCAGATTTACGTGAAGTATATACTTTCTTACAAGAATCACTTCTTTTAAGTATTTTTAAGTATATTTATATATTGTGTGTTGTAGGAATTAACTTTTAAAATCAGAAAATGATGGAAAATCATCTAAATAATAATCACGTAAAATAATTTCTGAGTGTATTTTTAAAGCAATAACTTCCATCCTCATGGAAATTTCTGCCCTTGATTTTCCCAGGTTGTTCGGATCTTGAACCTTAGGTACAGAACCAGGAACTCACCTTGCCGGATGCTGAATCATCTTTCCTCTATTGCTGATGACTTCAAGAATGTTTTTGACCAGAAAACCGATGACCTTCCTAGAAATCCCAGGCTTGTGGTGGGTGGAAAAACATTTGCAAAGATGTACACGGTTTCCCAGCCACATCACTGTTTTCAAAGATATTTTCACTTTGGTCTCTGAATTGGGAGTGCTGTGTACTGAAGGGGTTTCAGGAGGGCTTATAGAAGGGGCTGTGATAAAATTGCATTCCCCTTAGATAAAAGAATATGTTGAGATCGTTGCATAATATTGGAATTCCTCCTATGCCAAGCTTTCATAAGAAACCTGTTTCTGGTTAAATCTTGGTTTATTTTTAATAACCATCCTTTTGGTTAGAATAATACAAATTTTAAGAAAATCATTTGTATCCAGGGATATGAGCAGAAGGCTTGGCTTTTAAGTTTAACACAGCCTTGTTTGGGGACAACGTTTATAAATAATGAAGACATTCCATGTTGCTTGCTGAGTCTGGCAACATCTGGACTGGATCTGTATGGCCACTCTTTGCAGTTAGTGCCATTCCCAGGACTTTAAGGAACGGGTTACCAGTTTCTTTGAAACTGGCCTTCCTGTTTAGACACTAGACAGCAAGAGGGATGAGATAGTTATGGGTGAAGTATTACTGATTGCCACAGAAGAGGAGTTCAGAACAGATGGCAGGGTATGCAAATGATAGGAGAAATTTTGCTTTGTCTTGAAGCTCTTTGTTAAATAAAGTAACTCTAGAGGCCATTAATTGTACAGTCATAAGAATGAGAGTGATTTTATTATGTGGTGATATTGGGACCATGTACTGAAAGCCTGCATTTCTGGGTCAGTGTTGATAAATAGGAAATAACAGCATTTTCCCAGAAGTTTCTTTGTTTTTTATTATTTTGAGACAGAGTCTCACTTTGTTGTCCTAGGTGCTGTGGTGTCATAGCTCACAGCAACCTCAGACTCTTGGGCTCAAGCGATTCTCTTGCCTCAGCCTCGAGAGTAGCTGGGACTACAGGCGCCCGCCACAATGTCCAGCTATTTTTAGAGACGGGGTTTTGCTCAGGCTGGTTTTGAACTTGTGAGCCTAGGTGATTTGCCTGCCTTGGCCTCCCAGAGTGCTGGGATTACAGGTGTGAGCTATGGGGCTCAGCCCAGAAGTTTCTTTGAAAGGGAGTCCTGGTTTCATTGCCAAAATGAAATGTGAGTGCTACATCCCACAGCTGTGTGATTTGTTATGGTTTTGAAAATCCTGACTTGTAGGTAAACCTAGATGGAGGAAAAGGTATACACAGGCTTTTAACAGTAGGTAACCTTGAAAATAAAGCTCATTTCTAAAAGAAAGGACCTTTTGTTTATATATATTTTTAAACCAAGAAGTCGACTTCCAACTTGAGTCATTTTGAATTCCCTGTGGGAAATACTTAGGATTCATTTTGGAAGCTGTCAAAAAGAAAAGAGTCAGTGGTAGATTTTTCTCTTTCTGAGTTGCCCAATAAATGATTGGCAAAAATTGGGCAGATATGATTTTGACCTGCACTGCTCCTGGAAGTATTGAAAGAATCAGTAATAATGGTGGGATTTTGCTAGACCAGGGTCAAGTCTAGTTCTCCTTCATTGTTTTTGTAATTTATTTCCTTGTCAAATCAAGGCTGAGCATCACCCCATGGTTTGTAAGTAGCAGTGTTCCGGGCTGCTGGATTGAGCTTCACTGAGGCCTGTATCCTTGTCAGAAAGAACAGGCAGGCCAAGATCTTGGCTGGGTCCATTGCAAACCAATTGAATGGTGTGAAGAAATCTTTCTGCCTTATTCAGACTGGTGCTGAGGTTTCAGTATTGTAAAGCATTTGTTCATTATGGGGATGGAGTGTGCTCTTAAAGAGAATGCTATCATTGAAGTTTTGTTTCAGCAGTTGTATTTTTCTCCAGAGAACTATTATTTCGTTGTTAATAATAGCAGCATGGCTTTTTCAAAGGAGGCTGCTGTATACTTGAAACATTGAATCTCACTGATGTGTCTCTTTAGGAATCTTTTCAAGAATCTTCATTGGTACCAAAAATTATCAGATTTTGATAATCTGTGAGTGCCTGGTGTCTCAGAACATTTAGCTGCACAGTTGTAGGTAAGCTAAGTGGGGGTTCAAATCCCCTGTCTACTCCTTCCTGATGGGCCTAGAGTAATTGCTTCTCCTCTAAAACCGTCAGTTTTTACATTTCTAAAATCAGCCTGCAGAGCACGCCTACCTGGAGTTGTAAGGTTCAGCAAAACAACACTTGCTCAAGTGGCTGTCTCTGTGGCTGTCTTCACTGCATGTGTTTCCCTCTTCTCATCCACTTTGTGCAGCCTGCATGTACACCATTAAAAAGTGATCCTACCATTTTTAAAAACTGGAAACAATCTCCATCATGCTAAACCTTTTCTTGGCTTTACATTCCCTATCCAGCATTTTCCTTTTTCCTGTCTGTATGTATGTTTCAGTAGTGGATAAGTCAGTATGGGTTCTGTTTTATTTCAGCACCATTTCCTTCATTCTCATTTTAAGTTATGCAGCAACGTCAATAAATCGGTCCTGAACCTTGACCCTTATACTGGACTTGAGTTTGTAATTTGTCCACTGTTATATAGGCTACTCTTATCACCAGTGTTGTGACCTTTGTTGGCTTCTCTCTTGAAGTTATTTCCTTGGGGCAGATAACCCTGAAGTGGCTGCATAACATGGTTATGCACCATCAGTAAAACTTTTCTTTGTTTTACTTTGGAAAGTTTTTTTTTTTTTATTACCATGCATGTTTATTATAGAAAAATTATAAGACACAGATTTGCTGGAAGATTTGAAAAATATTACCTATAATCACATTTCTCCCAGAAAGCATCACTCTAGGTATATATTATCCATCCCTTTTCACTGTACATAACCATTTGGATGTACTGAGTATATTTTCTTCCTTTTTTTGGTTTTTTTTTTTTTCTGAAGTAGGTTTTTGTTATGTCACTGGGGCTGGAGTGCAAGGGTGTCATCATAGTTCACTGAAAGCTCAAACTCCTGAGTTCAAGCTATCCTCCTGCCTCAGGCTCCTGGGTAGCTGGGAGTATAGGTGCGTGCTGCCAGGCCCAGCTAATTTTTCTCTGTTTTTTAGAGATGGGGGTTTCCTTATGTTACCCAAGCTGGTCTTAAACTCAACCTCAAGCGATCCTCCTGCCTTGGCCTCCCAAAGTGCTGGAATTATAGGCTGGAGCTACTGTGCCTTGCCCGTCCATTTTCTTTGTGCAGTGTTTTCTTAGTATCTTCTAGCAGTATGTTTTTTTCTGCAATATTATTTTTAAAATTAATTTTTAAAAAATTTATGGAGTTTTCTATAGTGTCATTCGTAATAACTACAAAGATGCCATTATTAGGGCATTCCATGATTAATTTGAGTGGTCCCCAGTTGGTATGTGCAGTTGAGTTGTGTGCAGTTTTTGTCTGTTATAACACTGCATGGAAAATCTCCATGTTCATCCCTAAGGGCTTTTTGGGGTCACTTTTTTGCAAAAGATCCACTTTGGCAGCTTTGGACTAAGAACCTCAAAGAAGAGTACATCTTGGACAGATCACATGCTTGTCTTTATTTTTAACTGAAGAACTTTGTTCTAGAGCCCTATCAGCTCTGACTGGGAGCAGTGTTAGTGGTAGACTGCTTTAGTTTGCTAAACCTGCTATTAAGGACAATGTTTTCAGCCTCCACCCAAATGGCTGTTTCTCTGTGCAGGCTACAGCAGTTGCCTTCACTGGTTTTCCACTTTGGCCCAAAAAGATCTTAGCCACCACCTGAGTTATAAATGCCGGTTGTTGCCTGCCTGCTCTTGAGTCACTGCCAAGGTGAGAAGCTGTATGTGGTGAATGCAGAGAAGTCCATGTGTAGTGCTTTACCGAGCATTGTGCACTTTGAAGTTCATGCTGGAAACTGTTCTGCTTCTTTTGTCCTTGGTATTTCAAGAGGTAGAATATGTCCTTCCTTTGCATGAATTTCTCATTGCACTTGGGTTATAACTACCTAGGGCAAAAATCAGCAAACTAAGGCCTGAAGGCCAAGTCCAGCCCACTACCAGTGTTTGTAAATAAAGTTTTATTAGAACCTAGCTGTACCCCTGTGGCTACTGTGGCTGCTTTTGTGTTAGAACAGCAGAATTGAATAGTTGTAACTGGTTTTTGTTATGACCCATTGAACCGAAAATGTTGCCTATCTGACCCTTTACCAGAAAAATTAGCCAATGCCTGATTTACAGGGTAATGGAGACTCTCAAGATGTACTGTCCTTCCCAGAGCCACTGAGGAGGCATGATCTGCACTCCTTGTGGCCTGGATTTGTTGGTTTTTTTGTTTTTGTTTTTGTTTTTGAGAGAGACTCAATTTTGTCACCTTCACCTGGCAATGTCCTGGATTTTAATGAAAACATTTGTAAAACATTTTTCAAATTTGTTGAAAACCTATCTGGCTGTTTTCAAGTGATAGAGTTAATAGACCAAACCCAATTTTATTTCTCGCAATAGTTTTGGGAAAGACTCTGAGACTCCCTCACTGCTTTTTTTTTTTTTTTTTAAGAGACAGAGTCTCACTTTGTCACCCTCAGTAGAGTGCTGTGACATCACAGCTCACAGCAACCTTCAGCTCTTGGGCTTAAGCAATTCTCTTGCCTCAGCCTCCCTAGTAGCTAGGACTCTAGGTGCCTGCCACAATGCCTGGCTATTTTTTTTTTTTGCAGTTTTGGCTGGGGCCAGGTTTGAACCTACCACCCTTGGTATATGAGGCTGGCACCCTACTCACTGAGCCACTGGTGCAGCCCTCTTTTTTTTTTTTTTTTGGCCATGGCCGGGTTTGAACCCGCCACCTCTGGTATATGGGGCTAAAACCCTACTCCTTAAGCCACAGGTGCCACCCAAGCCCCCCCCCCTTCTTTTAAATTTAGAGACAGAATCTCACTTTATCACCCTTGGTGGAGAGCTGTGGTGTCACAGCTCACAGCAACCTCCAACTCCTGGGCTTAGGTGATTCTCTTGCCTCAGCCTCCCAAGAAGCTGGGACTATAGGCGCCTGCCACAACGCCTGGCTATTTTTTGTTGCAGTTTGGCCAGGGCTGGGTTTGAACTGGCAACCCTCTGTATATGGGGCTGGCACCCTACCCACTGAGCCACAGGCGCCTCCCTCCCTCACTGTTCCTATGTCACAGATGAGACTCCCTCATCCCTGAGCCTTCCTGGAATAGCAGTAGCACATTCGTGTAATGAGATCGGCTCTCCTCTGAAGCAGTTAGATTTGAAAACCAGTGAGGCTGTCATTGGTGAGGCATTTTCTTTTCAAATATTTCATTATCTTTTTAATCAGAGTTTATGAAATATTTAGCAAGCCTCCTGATGTTTTCCTGGGTTGATAAAAGATGCGTGCTGTTTGTATATAAAGCAAAAGACATGCTATTAAAAGAGAAAAAAGTATTAAATTTTTGGGGATTTTCATTATTATGCAGAGAAAAGCACTTAGTCTGCTTCACACCCCTATCCTGGCACTTAAAAGTTCCTGGAAATGAGAGTGTGTTAATAGCAAGTATTCCTCGATGAGAGACCCGGCAAGGAACTAATTCATTGTCTGCCTTGGTAGCTTTCCTCTTGGCCAGTGTGTTGTATTAGATTAGACCAATTCAAATCTGGCCCACCACCTGTCTTTTCACGGCCCTTGAGATAGAATAGCTTTTATATTTGTAAATGGTTACATAAAACCAAAGGAAGAAAG